TTTTGCCTTTGCAATTCAGGTTCAAATAGCACATGCTCCTGATGTGACAACTGTTCAGCTTTGTCAAATCCAAGTTCTGCTAATGAGGTAAAACAACAGCCTTTGGGATGTGAATGATGCATACTTGGTTGTTTGCCTTGATTTAATTCATCAGATAAAGGCTCAATTTTCTACCTGCTTTTACCAATTCATGGTTTTGTTTACCGCAGAAAATACTGTTATTACCTTCATTTTATAAAATCCTGCTACACAAAACTCAATGCAGTAGGTGTGTGGGGCAGAGTATGATTGCTTATTTTACAAATAAAGTTTTCATTTACAAAAAATTCATAGTGGATGCATTCTAATTAATTCTGAGTTCCCCAATACCCTTTATGTTTTCAGCTTTTGTTTTATTTTTCACAGTTTCCTAAAAAGGTTTTAAGCAAATATCAAGAGAGTTTTTTTCCAGCTTCCCCCTAAAGATGCTAAGTTATCAAGACCCCTTCAAGAAAATTGACGCCTCACATTCCTTTTCGCCTTCGTATGCCCAGCGCCCATTACTTTCCCTTCCTTTCCAATTCCAGCTCTCCCTACACACTCATCCGCAAACTCAAGAAATCCTTTTCATCCTTTCGTACACGAGTCAAATGTCACCTCTGCTGGAATTCCTTCTTAACTTTCACGTGCAGAATTAGCCACCCCCTCCCCTGAGCTTCCTCCTCTCTTGCGTCAGAGGCCTAATACAAACTTCTCCTTTTGTGGTATACATTGCATTTTTCCCCAAGAGCAGGTGAACTCCTAGAGGGCAGGGGTCATGTCTAGAATAGCAATTAGGAATAACACCCTCTCCCATTCCAATGACTTCTATAATATTTCACATATGACAAAATTTCACATGGAATTTCACCAAGGTAATTATAAGATGTGTCCTAGAAGAACGTGTAGATCACATCTGATATTTGGATACCTTCTCTGCTTTTCTCGTGAAGTTTGATGGAAAAACAATTTGGAGTTAGAAAGCTTGAGTTCCCTCTCCAGTACTTTCTACCTGCTATGCACTCTGGGGCAAATCTCAGGATTTCTGTGCCTCAGATGCCTCATCTGAACATAGGGAATAGATGGCCTACCCCCTGTCTAAATTATTTTATCCTCAAAGAAGATCATAAAACAGAATAGGTATAATGTATTGTGGAAGCTAAGGTATTATTATTGGATAAGATCTGCTGACTAATTTGAGTCTGTACTGGAAAAAGCAGATGCCAATGTAGGTAAGGCAAGCCGACGTTGACCATGCTCACTGAGGAAGAGCCTTTATATACCAAATCCAAAGACAGTGTTTAGGACAGTTATAAGGATTGCTTAGACTCCATTAAACTGTTAAACTACAGGTAGGGAATTTTAACTTTTTTCTCCTTTTTTGAGAGACAGGAAGGGATAGTAGGCAGTGGAACAAAGACAAGTAGAAGACTAAAGATGTACTGAAGTCACACCACATTTATTGTGTAGTTGGTCCAATTTTTATTTAGATTACCCTGTGTAAAAACTTGGATGTGGTGATAAGCAGCCTGAGGAGTTCTAGATGTGACTCTGCACAACTGTGTGTAAATCTGGCAGGTCCCTTCAAACTCTCAGGCCTCGGTTTCTCCATCTTTCAAATGGGGAAGCTATTTCTTATTTATCCTATTTCTTACTTAATATATTTATCAATTAAAGCATTCTTGGGTAAAATTTTAATAGATACATATAAATATAATATAAGTGTATCTTTTTATTTATACAGAATATAAATGTTATGTCTTTACTTATATTATTAATTTAAATGAACTTTATTAATTATGTTAGTTATAGATTTAAAGTCAGAGATGTACAAATTACTTTTATTGATTTAAAGATGAAAAAGTCATACATGTATAAATGAGAGTGGTAGTCCAGATAGTAGAAATCTCTTTTAGACATAACATTCGAGTGGTAGAGAATGCATTATCAACAGTCTTTTTTTTCTCAATAGCGAGTACTAGAACTCTGCCCTTCCTTCCCAGGGTGCAAACTTAACATAGCAGAGTTATAGAAACCTTCACAGAGCTCTATAACTTATCTCCACGACCAGGCACAAGTTACCCTGTCTTCAGTTTTTCCTTCTGTAAAATGACAACACCTAGTCAGATTGTGGTGAGGACAGAATATAAGCATGGAAAAACAGCCCATACCTGCCACATAGTGGGTGCTTTCTGAATGTTCATTCCCCCTCTATAGTAGCTAGTATAGGGCCGATGTGTAGTATGTGCTCAAGAACTTATTGATTGATTACTGAGGTTTGAAATTTCTTACACACAGTACACTTATTCACCCATACAGTTTAAATCCTGCAGGAATTTCTGTTCCAGTAAAGATGTAAATCCTTTCAAAATGTCCCACTCACCCAAGTATGTCTTAGGAAAATATGAATAGAAAAAAAAACCTAACTTCTCAGTAAGCATAGAAAATCTCCCAGATTTGTTCTTCATTTAAAACTTATGGTCCCAGTAAATTGAGTTTCATTCATGTTCAAGGCTGACTCTGAAATGACTCAGAATTGAAAACAGATGATAGCTGGATTCAGAAGCGCAGACTTCTCCCTGAATTCTCTTTATACAACCCATTGTAATTAGCTTGAATAATTCTTTCACATAAGCCACTGAAATTGTGTGAAGAAAAGTAAATTGTAAGTCTATTGATTCAGGTCTTCAGCAATACAAAAAGTGGCTTTTTAATTTTTTAAAAAATATTTTACTTCATTTAAAAGCAAACAACCTTCAAAAGAAGGTTAATATTAAGAATTTGTGTTTGAACATTTGTACACTGATAACACCAAATGAGTCATGGTGGGGGCGAAACCCAAGGATGGCATGTGATGCCATTGCTCTGATTCTAAACATTCAGCCATGAGGACAGCATTTTCCAGACCTGGAATTGTACTATGAATTATATTCTCTCTGAAGCAACAGACACCTATTCCATTTACAAAATCAGTACAACTGAACTATTTACCCTCTTTTATTCTTAATTATCTCTTGCAAGAGTTGGCTACCCCTGTCTTTATCACACTGGAAAAGTTTTGTTCAGGTATTTAATTATGAACTGGCTTTGTTTGTATATAGGGAAGGTGAGAGCTAACCTGGAGCACTCTGCTGACCATTTTGTTATGTTGAAACTTCTGGTTACTAGTTAGTGAAATGGTTAGTCAGTACAAATAATACATAGGGGGGTTCAAAATACTAGCTGTAATATCAACTCTAAAGGATGCTCCTATCCAACACCTCTTCTCTCAAAAGGGGTTATTCAAATCTAGTCATTCTATTCCCACATTCCCCAAGATCCTAGTGAAACAAAAAAATATATGAGACCAGCACACATAGGCGAATTAATGGGACCATTGCTGCATCTCTCTGACCTCACAAACTGCTGGTGGCATTACTGTTGTTAGTCTCCCACCTTTTTCTTAGATCTGTGTGTCTCTCTCTCTCTTCTATTTTATTCTTACATTCTTCTTCCTCATTGTGTCTGACTGACTAGTTCAAAGCATAGTTTTATTTTATCTGGATTATTTTCTCTTTTCCCTCCCTACCTAATCCTCACCTGTTCAGATTCTTCCCCCTCCAAACAATAACATTGAAAAAAAGGAAAGCTTTGAGAAAATCCCTCATTCATACACAGTTGTGAAGTTTCTTAACTTCACATTTCCTTCCTGGAAGAGATGATTCATTTTTCTCACTTTGACAAGCATTTAGCATCAGATCTACACATTTTTCTTCTTTGTATAGTAATTCCTTGTGGGCCTTGTTTGGGGTGGGGTGTTGGGGTGTTCGTATTATTATGTTTCTTGCTATTTTCCTAACCTCTTCACCTTTGCTGTCCCCTAGAGTCTCGCTCCCTTTTCCTGTTCCTTTACTGATCAACTTTCTCATCACCCAGGGACCCACTACAAAGTTATCAGCTTTTTAGGAGGCTTTCTTATGCCGATAATGTTGGCCTTTGACTTTGAATCTTTTTGACAAGCACAAAAACTACCGAGGTTGTTGGATACATTTCTTCCATGTTAACTCTCATATTTCTTCTGTCTTTTGGCATTCTCCTGGATAAATCCCCTGTATGGGAAATTTTTATATTAATATAAACAGGTATATTTACCTGTTTATTTTCTAGTGATACCTCAGGATATACAATATTTAATCAGCCTCAAACACTACTGCATACCCATATGCTTAATTTTTATGTTTGGACTTTTAAGCCCCTCAAGAAACCTAACCATGGGCAACTTTTGCTTTTTTATGTATCAAATTTACCAAGCTTTCTCTTCATTAACATCCGAAAACACTTATTTTTGTAGCTTTCTGTTTTAACTCAGTTAACCACAAACATTTGGTTTGATTGCAGGTCCCACAATGAATACCATTCCTTAAATCCCTGTCACTTAAAAAAAAAGCAACTTTCCTCCTGTCATTCACAGCCCACACAAGCTAGGTCAGATTGCAGACAAGGAAAAGGAGACAGGAAGTTTCTACTCAGAGAACCAAATACAACAATCAGCATTTATCATCCTGCGTGTGTGTCTGTGTTTTTATGTGTTTCATTGAATATTCATAGCACTTCTTTCTCTATGCGAGTTTGTTGAGAACAGAAGCAGGTTTTTCTCATCCCGTGGCTATTTCATAAATATCATGTTAATAATTTGTAAAAAGACATATAGATTAAGACCAAATATCTCCCAGCAGGAAATCAAAGGAAAAAAAAAAAAGATCTTAAAGTTCTATGTATTTTCACCGGCTGTGTCTCCATTCTCCTAGCTCATCAGCATCTCTTTAACAGTCCTTAGACTTTTAAACATCCTGCAAGATACTTGGTGTAACTGCTACAGCTCGCTAGCTCCTGACAGCATCCGTATTATTGTTATCATTAACTGTTATTATTATTATTATTCACTCTGTAGAATTGCTCCTACAGAGCTCCCTCCTTCCCCAGCATTTGGTAGTGAGACTTACCGCTTTTACCAACTCCCCCTGCTCCCAGCATTACCACCTTGTGCTCTCGGGACCCGCCTGACGCGCTGCTGGGGGAGCAGCTGGCTTCGTTTCCTACCTCCATCTTACCCGAGGGACCGGAGGAAAAAGACAAGGAGAAAGTCGCCCGTGTCAGGTGCTTGCTCAGAGAGTAAGCAACTCTAAAACTGTGTCAAAAGAAAGGTTAGTACGAGGTAAGAACCATCAACGTCGGGCTGGCTGCTGGTCCTCCGCTCGAGCGGGTCTCATAGCAACCACTTCAATTGCTTCCAATAAAAATCTGGCTTTTGCACCCCCCCTCCTTCCGATCCTTCACTCTTTCCAGGTCTCCCACGATTTCTCTCTTCTCTGTCTGCCTCTTCCTCCTGTCTGTCTGTCTGTCTGTCGGTCTGTCTGTCTGTCTGTCTGTCTCTCTGTTTTCCCCCCCTCCCCTTCTGTTTCCTTCTCCACTCCCCTTCCTCACCATGTCTCTCTCCTGCCCCCTGCCCAGTTGCTAGAGGCACACATATTTGGCTACCTTCCAGGCTGGGCTGCTAGAATGGAGTGAATCTGAGACTTAAAGGAGATGCTATGTCTCATAGGCTAACTTCTGTAGCTACAGCTTCAAAGACACTGTTTTCTTTTAATCAGGGGCAATTACTTAAGAAAGATGTCTGTTGCTTATCTCCTTGTTTTATATCACCATTTTCTTGCACAGTTCTCTTTATGGAAAAAGGGATACTACCAATTTAGAAGAAAAAAAATCCAAACGGTAACTCAGGGCACTTCAAGATGGGTCTTGAGTGTTGTTGGGATAATATGTGACCAGCAAGAATTGTTTCAGCTTACTTGACAGTTAGGGCTATAACATAAATAGGTATTTGAATTCTGTCATTGCCATATTTGGACATGGGCTGTCCTTGTTTACACTAGGTTATTAGGAATGATCTAAAACACCAGGATTCTGTCAAGCATGAAAGAGATATTTGATAAATATTTTTGCTGACAACTATGGTAACATTAAAGATAATATAAGATGATTTTTCAAATGTCCAGATTCCTACCTCTTCTTTGAATTTTGCTAAAGCTTCGGTGATCTTTGCTTTTCTCTGGAAAGTTTCCAAATTGTAGGAGTCTTAGAATCCTTTCAATAATCCCTGATTGTCATAGTCAGAGCCTATCCTTCAAACAAGATGGTGATGATACTCTGTATGGTTATTTTTCTGTTTCTGATTGTGACACTGGATCCTGAGTAGATGCAGTCAAGTGTTTTCTGTTCATAGGCTTGTCTTTCTATCTAGATTTTAAGATCTTCTAGGAAAAGTGCTATATTTAATCAGTTCCTTATGCCTTATAGTCTGTGACTAAGTGTTGGGCACAGAGTAGGTGCTCAGTATTCTTGCTAGTAATTGGAGAGATGGCATATAGCTTTAGCCAAGAACAAGGCTGATTGCATGTGTTCAAATCTGAGCTCAACCACTTAGTCGCTGTGTGACCTTGAGTAAATTATTTCACCTCTTTGTGCCTCAGTTTCTTCATCTATAAAATGGCTTATTAAAATCTTGCTTCATTACCTTATTAAGTGAGTTTAATGTTTATATAGTGGTTAAAACAGTGTCTAGCAAATTAAAAGCACCATATGAGTATATGACATTATAATAATTTTATTATTGTTTTGAGTGCTCTCTTCCCACTATCTATAAGCACACACAAGAAGAGAAAATTATCTCTTCAAGAGTTTATTGGCCATTTGTGCATATTTTTCGCTAAAGTATCTGCTCCAAATCTATCTCTATTTTTGCATCGAGGTGTTTGTTTTCTTATTGAGTTTTGATAGTTCTTTATATATTTGGGATATAAGCCTTTTATCAGATATGTTCTGCAAATATTTCCCCTCAGTCTGTGGCTTTCCTTGACATTGTCTTTCAAAGAATAGGAGTTTTAAAATTTGTTGGAGTCCAATTGTAGTTTTTTTTTAATTAAATGAATAACCCATCAGATTTTAAATGCAACCTTGTGAGACGATTCTGCTCCCAATTCTCTCTTCATCTTCTTTACCATTTCATTGCAACTTCACTCACTCTCATAGCTCTGTTCATCACCTCTCAGTGGGTAACTTCCAAGTTTGGAACTCTAGACCCAAGATTTCCTGTGAGCTTCAAAGAGAATCTGTCTCCTGGATGCTCTCATCAGACACCCTGCATATATCTTAACCTCAATATATCCAAAAAGCCATTATTCTTATTCTCAATAACAAATCAGCACTGTTTTCTATCTTCATAGGGAGCATCAATTATTGATTGATAATGGTTGGATTTTAGAGCATTCCAATGCTGCTGATTTTCAGTTTTAGTGAACTTCTGTGAATTTGCTTGCCTTGTGCCCTGACCAGTGTACCTAAGAGTCTGAGAGGGATGTGTATGTGTGTGTGTGTGTGTGGTGTATTTGCATGGCAGAGCTAGGGAAAGGTCCCAGCTTAGTTCAGCCTTCATGGTATTTGACCCCCATGACATGAACAGTTCCATTACTTATCTTACCTGAGTATAACGTCCCTGCCCTTTCCCTCTCTCACGCTGCTCAATTCATCCTGTACACTAATGTCAGGGAAACCCACTTAAAGTCCCAACCTGATTGACCCTACTGTATACATATTCATAAATCAAATGGTAAATAATACAACAATAGCTTAGAATGGTAAATAGGGACACAAAGCATTTATGCCATTTCTTGTCCTCACATTCAACAGAATACAGCCAGTCACAAAGGTGGACTTGCCTCTTCTCCTACAAAACTGTCATTTCCATAATTGGGTCTAACATAGAACTGTAGCTCTATTATAAGTCTCCTGTAATTGATTCATGGAAACTTTGTTCCTCAATAACAAGAGAGATCAGTAAACAATAGCATTTAACTTCAAGTTCTTTCTGGTTGTTTTTCCTACTTCTGAGTCAAAATTCTTATGACCTTGAGCAAATCACTTACCCCTCTAGCTATCCATCCCACCATCTATTACTCTGTTTTCCACATCAGCCATTCTGATTTGGTGGTAAAGCGTAGGAATTGTCATGCCAGCTGTGTCCTTCATGCTCCTCTTTATCTGGTACACTTACTTCAACATTGGTTGAGTAAAAGTAGTATATGGAAATTTCTTTAACAGTAAATAAATGAATAATTGCCAAATATCGTTAGGCATCATGGAAGGGGAACATTAACTAGTGAATTGGTTTTCTTCTCAGTGTTTAATGTCCATATTGCTCAAACATAGTCAGCTGGATTCTCCCTGCTTAAGTGGAGGATGAAAAACATAAAGTGCAGGGGGACTTTCCTAGCTATAAGGCCCTCTTTGTCTCCCTCTTCTTTGAAAGTCTAAGTTATTTGACTTTAAGGTACCCTTAGAAAGTCTAAGATACCCTTCTTCTGAGTTACAAAGGGCCACAAAATCTCCTGATTGATAATGGTTGGATTGTGGAGCATTTCAATGCTGCTGATTTTCAGTTTTAGTGAACTTCTGTGAATTTGCTTGCCTTGCACCCTGACCAGTGTACCCAAGAGTCTGAGAGGGATGTATATGTGTGTGTATGGCAGAGACAGAAAGTGCAAGAGAGAAAGGTATTTTCAAGGTGCATAAATGATAATAGAAATGGAATATTTAAGAAGCCAAAATCATTACATGACAGATTGCTTTGTTCTTGGGAAAATTAATAAGTGACTCAAGTTTGCATTTGCTTTCTCTCACTGCCCTTGCATTTGCCATCGTTTATGAATGTCACATGATTCCATTCAAGTGCTCATCTCTTATCACATCAAGAGTCAGGCATTTCAGAACCACCCAAGTCCCTGAGCAGGACCCAGGACTCTCCACCTCGCCTCTGTCAGTTGCTGCTCACCTACTAGTCCTTCTTAGAGGACAAAGAGGGAAACTAACTTACCAAGTAATTCCTTTAAAAGGAATACATTAATTCTATTTATTTGGATCTCTCTCTGAACTCCTTGAGGAATGGCTAAGGCATCCACTCTCTGTGGAGGGCATCCTGCTTCATTGTAGTGGGAAGCTAGGCACATCTAGAGTTCTTATTTCTTCCGTCATGGAGAAGCAGAGCCCCTGACACCCTCTTCTGCAAAGCCACCCTTCCCTTTATTAGAGCATTTATAATATTTATTACAGTGGTTTATTTGCATTCCAGTCTACCTTACTAAAAATTGGTGACCCTGCCATATTCATCTTGATCTCTCCAGAATTTAGTACAGTGTCTGGCACGCGCTAGATGACTAAGACATTTTTGTTAAATGGGGGAATTATGTGCACCAAGTGAATGTCTATTGCCACTATTAGTGAAATTAACCATAAGTATGTTATTTACTGTAATGAAAAGATAAATCATGGAAGGAAGAAATAGCAACTTAGTTACCTCTGGGTATGTTACTCTGGAAGGTTCTCGCCACAGACTGTAAGACTGCTGTAAACCAGAAGATAGCACAGGCTGCTCAGGACAAAAATAAACTGGAAACATCAAACCCAAAGGATTAACAGAAAGAGGTGATTTTGTAAATGAGAGGCAAAGTTGTATCTGCACAGTTCAGACTTCTCTATCACCCTGACCTCCTCATAAGCATATTCAGTAAAACTCAGAGTAGGTGTTAAAACTTCTGCATATGGAAGGATTGAACTTTCTTCCTAAAAGCACATTAAGGTAGAAATATCTGGAAGGAAGGAACTGACATGTGATAACTTTCATTCATTCATTCATTCATTACACATGGATTAATCCATTAAATATGGATTGATCTGCTCATTCTCAAAATCATCCATTCAAATGTGTTAAGGCTTTAGAAAAATAAAGGAAAACATGATACAGTCCATTAGTTCAAAGTGATTATATTCTTGTGTGGGAGAAAGACATCTTCATACGAGCCTCTGGAACAAACCACAGTGTGACAGGTAATTGGATAGGTGAGTGAGCAGAGGCTGATAGGAACATAGGGGAGAGATTGATTGCAAATAAGAACACAAGGTGAGGTGTCAAGGAAGGGGAAATAGCTTGAGCTAGATTTAAAGTAGGACATCAAGTGGAAGAAATTACAAAAACAGCAATATTCAAAGTTTAGAAAATGGGGATTTGGTGAATTGCAAATTAATAATGCATGGTTGGTACATAAGAACATAGGAATATAGTCCAAAAGTTGGATTGCAAATGAATCATGGAGAGCTTTGAATTATAGTTTGGGTTTCCTCCCTCCCTCCCTCCTTCCCTCCTTCCTTCTTTCCTTCCTTTTGTCTTTTGGTCTTTCATCTTTTTCACCTTTAAGCAACTTTGAAGTAAAACAGTAAATAATACTTGCTTTTGAATAGAGAAAAATCAA